TCATTAGTGTCACTTATTAATTAATAATAAATTGTTGCTAATTAAACTTTTATTAATTTCCAATAATAATTGATAATAATGTATACCTTGCAAGAAAACAACTTCATAATTGAAGAAAATTTTCGAAGTGGGCGCTTAGTAAACGGCGATTTTTTAATTTTGAATTAAGACAAGTATGTACCCCTATTTTCGTATAGCGGAATTTTTTATTTTACATGGAAAATTCACAGCTGCCTAGATGAAAATCATTTATAACCACTTTGTATAATTTTGTGCAACAAGCCTTGCCAACTTATTTTCGGTAGAACTGACAAAAACAAATGAAGTCTAGTGTTTCTAGATTTTATTATTTTAGAATGCAAAGAAAAACAGTAGTTTATAAATAGAAATTTTCTTTTATCGTTAATTTCTTTTGCCTGTTTTCTTCCCTCATTAATTTCGTCTCAGCGTGGAATTAATTAACCAGTTCCTCATTTGCAATCCCGTCAGGTTAATGAAATTCCAGCGTTGAAAATCGACCGAAACGGCCGAAGGAGTGGCACAAAGCGTACCACATTTCGCGTGCTGCATTTAGGTGTGGTGGCTTTTGTCTCCGCCGCCCCCAGAAACCCATAACGATATACAAACACCTTGTTATATTCATGTCACAGTGTGGCATTCCGGCGGTTTGTTAGCAACTTCATTGGCCTTTAAAAGACCTTATAAGGTAGGAGACTAGGGCCGAACTCCCGGTCTTTACATTCTCTCTCAATGAAATGAATCAAATGCCAACGAGCTGACTTTTACGATAACCTCTCGCTGTTTAACCAAATTGAAATTTTTCTGGGATTATTCGGGAATTTAGGTCGCATACTAACCGACTCATTAGTAAAAATAGAAAAATCGAGCTATTTGAGAAAAAATTCAAACCGGTTAACGCCCACTCATTCGAGAACACGGCCACAAAGTGAGTGGTTTTGAAGATAATTTTATTTTTAGTGCACAGTCATTGGAGTTTTGGGTTGGCTTCGGTTAGTATTTTTTTTCCTTGAGTGGAACATCTGGGTTATTGCACTATTTTAAAGTGGGCTCGACTTGGATTATTTTTAAAATTTCGGTGTCGAAATGGACCGAGGCGAGAATTGTGTGTGGCGTTCGACGGGAAATGCGTTATTTACAGCTCGTAAATTTGGTCGTTAATAAAATATAGTATGTATTTGGGAAATATGATTCTATTTGTCTAAAAAAAGAGTTATCTGACACAATTTTTGGTTACATTCGAATACTAGTAGTTTCTTTGTTTCTTTTACTACAGTAGAACTTTTATAATCCGAACTAAGTTAATTTCTGTTTTTTTTTTCAATTAATAATATAATTATTAAAAAATATAAGAGAGTGGCTAAACCCCACATTAGAAATAATGGGAGTTCAAAAAATTTGTTTATAGCTCCGGCCTAATAAAAATACTTTCGATTATGTCGAATTTTAAATAGAAATTTTTGTTTTTATTGCGTTTTTAGATTCCCCGAGATGAGAGTTTCCTATACCTAAGTTTAGCCGTTTTTTGGATTTATAGTTTTTTTGGAAATTTTGGAATTTGAACCTTGAAAGCTTAGATTTTTCCATTGGTGTATTTATAATTGAAAAAATAATTAACGAACTGGCAAAATTTAACATTACATTTGGGAAAATTCAAATATGTACAGTTACGTAATTAAAATTTCGGGCAGTATTGTCATTTTCATAATGTAAACTCTAAAACAACCTTAACATTAATAACCTCATTTTTTACTCTTGTCATATGTCATTTTGACTTATTTACTTTCAAAAATAGTGATTTGTGTCATAATAACGGGTAGGCAGCAGATCAAAGCGATGATTTAATTACACTTAGTTTAATTAATAAATTTTCTAAGACATACAAATTATTTAATTACCAATTTTAACAACAACAAAAAATTTAATTGTCAAATGTCAGTCATGATGACAATAAAGGCTAGTTTACAGAGAACTCTTTAAAGTGACAGGAAAATACATACTGCCCGAAATTTTAATCCCGCAACTGTACCTATAATTATTTTTTTTCAAATGAAACGTTCCAATTTTTTTTTACTAAGGGCCGGTTTTTCAATCGTTGGTTAACCTCTAGTTAATAGGTTTCTATGGAAATTTTTGCAATTTAACCAATCAAAATGCTGCATTTTTAGTAAGTAGAGTAGTAAGTAAGTAGAGTAAGTAGAGGAGAATTTAATTCTGCTTCTATCTGTGTATTATTCCCAACACCTATGTTTGATGGTATTAAAGTTATAGTAACTTTTTTGATATTGCAATATCTGTATACTATGGAAGCTATTTTATGATGAGGTTAAGTGTGGCCACTGTTCGGATTATCGAGAGCAGATTTGGACCATGTCTCAATACATTGTTCGGATAAAAGACAAAAAAGAGGTCGGTTTAAAGAGGCTCTACTGTAATTGCAGTATTTTTATAAAATGTTTTATCAAAAGTATATTTTTTGATATTCATTAAATGTAGCACATTATTTTTATCCATTTCTTCTCTGTTGAATAAGATATACAGGTGTTCCAGAAATAACTGAAAGACAAAAACCTACATTATTTTAATTAAACAGATTTTAATAAAAAAAAAGTCATTATGAAATATATAACAAATGTGTTTGTAAATATTTTCCTACTGATAATTATTTTGCTTGACAAGTAAATACACATAATATTGCAACAAGGAAAAAGATAATAAAGGCATTTCCTGGTAATCGATTACGATATTTTTTTCAAAATAATTACTTTACAAGACCAACAAGAACTCTTGACACTCGATACCCGGTTTTCATTTTTCTTATTCGCTAATGCAGTTGTGCAAACATAACGACCCTTGATGACCCCAGACCTCCCATGACCATCATCCTCGTGAAATTTAAGCTTCTAGATGGTATCATAAGCGGCACTATTTACATATCCCAACAAAAACATCCTCTTCGAGTCTTTTAAAATACAAAAGAGCTCTTTAGTAAAAGCCCTAACAGAGATAATTGTATGTAACGCGAGCCATTTTCGAGGAAACCATGAAAAGAAGTCTCTTGTACAGTGCACACCTTTTCCAATTATTCCTAGAACTACCCCCAAATCCAGGTAAAAATTCCCCCAAGTTGTCCAAGGGCGCGAAACGCCTAATTCTGAGTGCTTCAATCGATCGTAATTAATCGAAATAGCCCCCCTATTTAAAGCCGACTCGATAAGTGGTTTTTAAGAGGCCACATACGCCGTCATTCTTAATAAAAAGCCGGTAGCCTTTTTATGTGTTGGCTTATCGGGGCTAAAGGGGTCTTGGCACGCACCCTGACACCCGGTCTAGATTATTAATAAGTGAGGACGTGCCAAGCTTATCTTCGGGTATTTTAAGACGCCCATATGGGTGAAAATTGACGAAGGAAATTGAACCAATTATTATTACGGCGGGGCCCATCCTGTTTTACTTATCTTGAAACGACTTTTTGCAAGCGATGAACAGCACCGTTGTGTTTGTTTTGCAAAGCAGAACGAGACGGGAATTTATTCAAGCCAATTAAGGACTTTTTGGGCAAAAAAGACAGCAGACGACCGAGATTATCGCCTGAATTGCAATTTTACTTTTTGACAATCGTTGGATTTTCTTTTATTCTATTGGTATACTCGTCTTAATATTAATGTGCATCGAAGTAGTCGTTGAAAAGGATCATTTTAAGGTGGCAACTATGCAAAAATTCAAACAATCCTTGTATACCCTTTTTTATATTAATGTGTATCAAGTAGGTTGTGGAAATCTAAATGAATCTTTAATTTAAAGGCTGATTTAGACAAAACGTGTCATTAATGTCATTCAAAACAAATTTAATCACATTAATAATAACAAAAATCTTTATGTTTGCTATCCTATGTTAATTACGTTGTTAATTTTAATTATTTTTTGCTACATGAGGTACACATTTATTTGAAAAAAAATAATTTTTAGGGAGATTGACGTTAGGATTATTTGAATTTTCGCATGGTTGCCACCTTAAAATGATCCCTTTCAACGACTACTTCGATGCAAATTATTATGAAAACGAGTATATCTTCAATACAAATAATTTTTTCAAATAAATGTGTATCTTAGGTAGCAAAAAATAATTACTATTAACAACGTAATTAACATAAGGTAGCAAACATAAAGATTTTTGTCATTATTGATGTGATTAAATTTGTTCTGAATGACATTAATGACGAATCGGCCTTTAAATTTAAATTTAGATGCATTTAAGCTTCTACAACCTACTTGATGCATATTAACATGAAAAAGAGTATAAATGAGATTATTCATTGTTGCCAACTTTATTTCAAAATCACAGGCCAGATTCAGTGATGTCAACTGAGACAGCCATTCTTGATCACTATTTTTTCATGAAGAAACGGAAAAATAATGCGTGTTGTATGTTAAATATCGATTTTTAAGGGGGCGTTTACGGATTGTATTTCAACAGTTTTTTTTATAAAATGACAAATGTGGAGCAAAGCCTTGAAATGACGTATTTAGGACTCCAATAATGATTGTTTTCTATTCATAATGCACGTTTATCACATTTGGGACATGAAAAGTGGATAAATGTTGAACGATAAGCTGGGGTTATGTACTTATTGTAGGGGATAGGCGGTCAAAATTGGCTCGAGCCAGGAATTTTATTTGCAATTTTCACCTGTCACTATTAAAAAAATGACATTTCCTTTAAAATGAGTTTTTTATGAGGCTTGGAAGTGGCAAACGAGACGAAAATTTATTTTCATGTTGCTCAATCTCCACATTCTTGAGATCAGGTATCCAAACAAGATAAACGATCCAGTGAGAATGTTTGTAGAAGCATTTCAAGTTAGTTCACACTGCGATAACTTCCAAATTTCAATAAAAGCGACAAATATAGCGCGACCGGTCCATTAAATATGATAAAACATTCAAATTTTCTGGTATTTTACAACGAAATAAAAATCTGGTTAAAAGGGGGGACACATTTATTAATTTTGGCATAACTGGACGTCTTTAGCACGTGGACCTCCTCTTGTGACAGCTGGAGGACCTCCTCCGCCTCTTGTGCCCGCACCTGGACTTCCTCCTTCTCCTCGGACAGCTCCTCCTGCGTCTCCTCCTCGAGCAACTCCTTTTTCTCCTCCTCCTCGAGCAACTCCTTCGTTTCCTCCTCCTCGAGCAACTCCTCTTTCTCCTCCGCCTCGAGCAACTCCTTCCTTTCCTCCTCGTCGAGCAGCTCCTTCTCTTAGACTTGGGGGCGCGGCACGCTTCTTGATAAAACTTCCTCCTTTGCTGGTCCGACATCCTGCACCAGCATTTGGCCCCCTCGACGGCTACTTTGACGGCACTCCAGCCGCAATGTTTCTTTCGGAACCATCGCAAGTAGTTGAAAAAGGGGTTCCGAGTGAGTTTTCCGGGCCGGCAACTTTTGCGACACCCTCGTCGTCGGGGGCGTCGTCTTCTACGGGTGCGACAGCAGTACTGCGCCCGAGAGGGGGCTTTTCTACACGCCATTAATTTCAATTTTGTACATCAGAACGGTTAAAAATTCAATCAAAAGTTACACATCTAATTTTGACGAGTTCGAATTGAGATTACTTGTTGATTCTCCTTGACGACTAGTAAACATGAAAATGAGAGAAGGGAAAATCAAGCTACAAGGAGTTTTTCGGACGACTTTTCAGTTTTCGCCTCAGGTTATGAGAAAATTAAATGAATGTTTTTTTTTTCAGGATTTTGGTGGGGGCCCCTTTGGGGCGGAATTTGCAACCTTCCACTAACAGATCGGGGGCCCTTTACAAGTGCCCCGTGAGCAAGCGCGACAACGACTGCGAACAGATCGAAACGGACGGCAAACGGCGTATGTATTAATAAAAAAGTATTGGAAAAAATTAGAAAAAATAGAGAGAAACATTCAGTGTTATGTACAAACACTTTTAGCTTTCTAGAGTTGTCCTTGTCTGATTTTCGTAGGAGTTTTTGAATTATTTTTTACAAATTTTTGCCCGCGAGGGCCTTAATAATTTGTGTTTTTGTTTTTTGGGGTGCACACCAGTGGCCGGAGGGAGGTATAAGTGTAAGTGGTGGTCTCGAACCATGGTACCATTGGTACCAATTTGGTAATAATGCATGAAGTATTTTTGCTATTTATTTTCTGCATGTCTATCTAGTTTTGCTTGCACTCTGTACATTCTTTCCTTGCTTTTCTCCTCTCCTCTAATCACACACTCGGTACCAAAATTAATTTTTTGACGCGTTTAAGGCCCAGAAATTATAACAAAGCTTCCGAAACGACGATTTATTAATCAAAAATCAACATTTTGCATGGTGGTCAAAAAAATTACTAATTTAACTAGACGATTACTAATGTGGATTAACGAAAGGGCTTTCAAGTCGTTTTTGTCGCAACTTGCATACCGACAGGGATTAGTGTTACAAAAATAGACAACAAAGAAATGCGACCTGTCATGGTTTAGGGGATTAGAGATGGAAGAAAAATAAGAACTCTGTTGGTAAAACTTTTTTGTTTGTTGACTGAATTAAAACTGAATTAAACTTTGGACTGGTTTAACCTCGGATTCATATGCAGTGTGCTCATAATAATGAATACTGAAAGGAAAAAAATCGATAAGTCCATTGTAAAACAAATGAGAACGATGGAAAATAAATCAAGGAATTTGTTTATGATTTGAAAAGGGAAGACTTTGATTAAAAATTTTGTGTGTTTAATAAATTTATTAGCGCTTTTGAATATACTGCAACTTTTGTTAAAAAGGTTTTTTAATTTGGTGTATTTTTGGTTGCATTACGCTTTTGTTTTTTGTTTGTAAGTTGTATTGAAATAGCAAAAGTATTGACTGTAACAATCGAAATCGATGATAACGAATGGAGGTCACTATTTATCGTTTATTGTTGACTATATTTAGGTTGGAATGTAAATAAACACAGAAAGAAAATGTATTGAAATAGGAAGTGCAACATTGTGAGAATATTTTCAAGGTTTAAAACCTCAAAACTAACTTATAGTTACAGCTTATCAGTGCCGAAACTTTACATTTTTAAGCAATTTAATGAAACTCAAAATACTAATAAAAAATTGCGTATTATTGGTTGCATAAGAATTTGTTTTTTACTTACTTTAATTATTTAATACACCTATTTATTGTGGTTTTTGTCAGTTTTTATGTTTATTACTATATTGCATTTGTTTTGATTTTGGTTGACTACTTACAAAACTTGAAAAAAGAGTTATAGGAATTAAATATTGTTGGTTGCATAACATTTTTTACTAATCACTAATTTTTAAATTTGTGTATTTTTATCATATTATTTTACTTATTAATATATCATATTTGCCCCAAGTTTGCAATTTTGGTTTGCTACTGACACACGACTTTTGAAAGAATTAGATTTGGTAATTGTGTATTTTTGGTTGCATACATTTGGTGTCAAAAACGATTTGAGGCGGATTTTACAAAAAATAAAGTCGCGAATATTTAATGCTGTAGTCCTTTGGGTTCTTCGGCTTATTTGAAGATTAATGAATAACAACATTAATGTAATAACCCTAAGAGACCACCTATTTTTGTGGTACTTGAGCGTTTTTTGATGACAATTGAAGTGTGTGTTTTCGCATCATCCTCAGCTTCATTTTTATACAAAAAAAAATATATGTAAATAGCAGCATTGTACAGCAAAAGGGCTTCGGCCTGTAGTACACGTTTGATATGATTTTTTTTACTAACTCAAAGTTTCAAATCATTTTGAAACCGTTCAGATTTTGTGCATCTTACTAACTCTGAAATTTTTGTGTGAAACGCGGACTAACTGATTTTTTTTAGTCAATGTTTTCGACTATGAGGATATACCGTCTACGAGAAACGAACCGGCGCTTTTGCCACCGTCACACGACGAAATCAAGGAGAATCAGTGGTTGGGGGTAACGGTGAAGTCGCAAAAACCAGGAGGAAAAGTCGTTGTTTGCGCACATAGATACATTCAGAGTCCTAATTTGGACTTGCACCACTATGGATACGGTTTATGCTACTTACTGGACAACCAATTGAACGTCGAAGACGCCCTTGAGCCTTGCAAAGGCCGCCCTGTTGAAAAGTAACCGATTTTTTTCCCTTTTCTTTTGACAATAATTATTTTTTAGATTGCACCAACAGTACGGCTATTGCCAAGTGGGCACTAGTCTGGCCTTCCTGTCCGATGATTTCGTCATAATGGGGTCCCCCGGGCCCTACACGTGGCGGGGCACGATTTTCGCCAAAAACGTAGTTGGCAGCTTCCTCGAAAGAGACAAAACTGTGTACAGGGGGCCACTAAACGACCAAGACACCCCCATTGCGAAGTACAGCTATCTCGGAATGAGTGTAACCGGGGGGCACTTTTTCTCAAAAGACACTCTAACTTACGTCTCGGGGGCCCCACGCTCTAATGCAAGCGGACAAGTATTTTTCTTTAATAAAACCAAATCGGAGGAGCAGCTTAATATCAGATTAATAATCAATGGATCGCAGTTCGGGTCGAGTTTCGGGTACGAAATTTTGGCCGTTGATTTTGAACAAGACGGCTATGATGAATTGCTAGTAGCAGCCCCCTTCTACTACGACAAAGACCATGGGGGCGCTGTCTACATTTACAACAATTTGCCAAGTTGCACCGATTCGTATTGTGACCCCAGTCAGGTTTTCTTGGGCAAAGCGGAGTCAAGATTTGGGTTTTCGATGACTGCACTTGGGGATATAAATAAGGATGGGTTTATTGACGTGGCGATTGGTGCCCCCTATGAGGATAATACCGGTGCTGTGTATATCTATCTGGGGCAAAAAGGGGGTCTCAAAAAAGAACCCTCACAAATTATTAAATACGGTGAAAGACAAGGACTTAAAACTCTCGGTTATTCGTTGAGTGGGGGCATGGATATGGATTTGAATGATTATCCGGATTTGCTAGTGGGGCTGTATGACTCGGAGAGGGTTATTTTGTTCAAGACGAGGCCCATTATTGACATTGGAATTACGGTAAAGGGGGTCGAGTTGCGGAATATTAATGCGTCCAAGAGGGGCTGTCAGGATGATCCTTACACTGATAAGACCTGGTAAGTTTGGTGTTGAAGCTTGATGTAAAACATACTTAAAACCAACTTCAATCACTTTTCGAACCAGTTTTAGTCGAAATGATTTATGGCTTGAATGTTTCTCAAAAAATTTGAGAACTGAAAAACTGGTTGTAACTGATTTTAGAAGAATCTTATAGTTGCGAATGAGTTTGAAATATGTTTTTTTCAATTTGTTAAAGAATCAATTTAGCGGAAAAAAATTGGTTTACTTACATTATTTTTTCTGAAATAGCTATAAAGAACTTAAAAGAAGTATTTTTACGGATTTGTGTCATTACTTATTAGTCATTAGTCATTACTTATTAATCATTATTTAAGCCCGCAACCAACAGTACACCAATTTATTTTATTTATGTATTGTTAGTTGATAGCGTTTCACATTTTTTTGCAAAGTTTTACACAATTTTAGGAAGTCTATAAAATGCAATCAGCAATACATAATCCAGTACAAGCTGGAATATTGTGAAATTGCATAATTTTTTGTAGTTTGTATTGTACAGCTCTCAAATAATTGGCAATAAATTTTTGTTAGTGAAGGATAAATAGCATGTCATTTCTACTTTTTCATTATTTAAACACGTGATCATTTTTTTTGAAAACCTGTTAATGAAGTAAGAAAGTAATAATTACTTTGACAACTATTGTCAAGGGTTTCCAATAATTCATTTTTTCCAAAAAAAATGAGCAAACTGATTAAAAAATGGCAAAGGTTCCAAACAAGCTTTCGACTGCAGTTAATTTATGACAAATTATATTTTAAAGAAGTGTTGCAAAAAATCGTTGACAACAAGGATTAGTTTTCTTAAAACATTTCTTTCAGTTTTTCATTCAAGACTTGTTTCAAATTATTGAGCAAATTCCCCCTGACCAGCGACGTCACTATTCGATACGAAATCAAGGAATTACCGAAAAAAGTGCCAAGAGTGACAATCGGTAACGAAACATTTGTTACAAAACCAATCACAGTTTCTGACACTACTCAACGGTATTGCACAAGCGAAACGGCTTATCTCATTGAAGGAAACGGCGATATTCTCTCACCAATTTCGGTAACAACTCAAATTCTTGAAAAACCATCAACATTTAAATAATTTCAGTTTCAAGTAAACTACACAATATATAAAAACGACGTCGATTCGCCAGTTTTGAATAAAACCTCAGTCAAAACATTCGAGGCGACTTTCCAGAAGAATTGCGGCCCTGATGATATTTGCAAGAGTAAATTGATCCTCAATGCGCGACCGGTGGCACTTAACGGTTTGTTTTTCAACATTTGTTAAAAGAAATCTCATTGTTGATTTTAGAAACACTCGAGGGTCATTATTTGTTCAATTTGGGAGTGGAAAAAGAACTAATTTTGGAAGCCAACGTTGTTAATGAGGGCGAATCGGCCTACGAGGCCAAACTCTTTGTAATTCACCCGGAAAGTTTGAGCTACGTGGCGTTGCAAACCCAAAACAAATCCGGAAACACGATTTGTACTTCAAACGGCACCACTGTCGTCATATGCAACCTGGGAAACCCCTTTCAGGAAAGTCAATCAGTCTCACTCCCTCTCCGATTCGAAATCGCCAACACCAAACAATCAAGACTCGAATTAAAAGTCTTCGTTAACTCGACTTCTGAAGAGTTGTCAAAGCAAACATCGCAATCCTTCGTCGCGATTTTGAAAAATATCGTTTCTTTGAGTATCAAAGGTGACAGCAAGCCGGCAAACGTGTTATTTTCCGGCGAGCCTAAAGGCCAATCCGCCATGCGTTTCTTCGAAGACATTGGTCCTCGAGTCACTCACAGCTATAATATAATCAACGAGGGCAAATGGCACATCCAGAACATGAAAGTCGAGATTTTGTGGCCTTATCAGGTCAAAACCGACCGCAAAGAAGGCGGAAAGTGGCTCCTGTATCTGGAAGGAGAGCCCTCAATTGACTACAACACCACCAATTTTTGTTTAGTCGATTCCAGGTTTGTCAATCCATTAAATGTGAATTCCTCCGGGGTGGAGGAACCGGAGTTGGACGAGTCGGAACACGTGAGGCGGAAAAGAGACGTCGCGACGGTCATCCAACCGGAAAGTCGAGTCGGGGAGGATGGCAAACTCCGGAAGATTGTGACAATGGTAAAAATGTGATTTTTGTTATTTTCGTTGATTGTTTTTTTGCAGACGTGTCACAAAACGGCAGCTTGTGTCCGGATTCAATGCACAATACCCCAACTGGAAGGTGGCGGGCAAATCCGAATCCGGGTTTCTTCCCGATTGTGGAATTCTACTCTAATTGAAGACTACAGTCAAGTCGATTATGTTACAATCGAGTCACAAGCTTTAGTTTTCATCGATGAGCCGGCCACTATACTCACCGAGAATTCCATTAATAGCACTTCGGTAATTACGTGGAATTTTACAGAATTATTCGTAATTATGCGTAATTTCAGGTGAAAGTGGTGGCGTTCCCGGCCCTCACGTTGGTCGACAAAGGGGTCAACATTTGGATCATTATTGGGTCAGTCATTGCCGGTCTTGTCCTATTAGTTATTGTGGTGTTTGTGCTGTATAAATGCGGGTTTTTCAAAAGAAATCGAATCCAAGATCACACACTTTCCGGGAATTTGAAAAAACAAGGAGAAAATGAGACTTTGTTGAAGGAGAGTGGGAGTAAAACAGCTAAATAAGCGGATTGTGATAAAAAAAACTGTTCAAACGATTTATTTATAGTGCTGAATGCTTTTGTGTGAATGTTTATTGTTGTGTTGCTTAATTTCGTACTTAAGAATCTTTTTATCCCGAACTTGTTATCAGATAAATTTGTACAAATAGATTTTATTATTAATTTGTAGAATATTTTTAAATAAATTTTTTAAATACTGGTTCATTTATTTTGCCCATGACAGAACAAATTTACAAAAAATTATGCATTTGAAAAATAACAAAACTTGACATCACTGAATCCCAAAAGCACAATTAATTAATTTTATTACGACTACTTAATTTCTAGAAAGTAAATAATTAAGAAATTATGATAATTAAGTTAAAAATGGTGATATTTTTTTGCTGAGATTTTCATGTTGGCAATATCATACTCTTGACAGTAACAAAAACAACACATTTCACATCATCCCATCTGAAGTTTAATTTGTATTAAAATTGTTAATTTCTGATAGTAATTAACTAAATTTAGACCCAAAGTGCGTTTTAGAGTAAAAATAATTCGTTTTCAGTCACGATGAACCAGTTAGAGGACAAAATCCTTCACGTAACAAAAGCAATTGAACGTCAGGTGGATTCCGCGATTGAACAAATTGAAAATTTGGACGTGAATGACTTGGAATCCCTCCGGAAGCAGCGTATCAACGAGTTAAAGAAACGTGAAGCGCAGCGTAACGAATGGCTGAGTCTTGGCCACGGCAAATACGAGGAATTAGCCGAGGAGAAAATGTTCTTCGATATTACAAAACAGTCCAAGAATTGTGTGGTCCATTTTTACACGAATTCGTCCCCCAGGTGCGCTATTGTGGACAAACATTTGAAAATCCTCGCCCCTAAACATATTGAGACACGTTTTGTGAAGCTGAACGCGGAGAAGTGTCCATTTCTGGCCCAGAATCTCAAAATTAAGACGATTCCGAGCATTGTTCTAGTCAAGGACAGTTTCATGATCGATAAAATCGTGGGTTTTACACAGTTGGGGAATCGTGACGACTTCACAACTGAAATCATGGAGTGGAGGATTGCACAGAATGGGGTTATTGATTATGAGGGGGACTTGTTGACGCCCCCACATTTGCAAGAGAAGAAGAGTAAATCGAGTGGGAAGAAAATCAGGGATGGGGCTTATAATAACGACGATGAGGATTTGGATATTGAGGAGTATGCTTTAAACAGGGATTCACTCAAAAGTGGGGATAGTTTGAGTAAGGTTCAGTCGACTGAATTGACCCCCGAAGAGGCAGCAGAGTTGGGCTTAGATGACTAAACTTTTATACTTAAATTTATTAACTTTACAAAATTAAAGGATATAAAATCAGGCCTCCAGTGCGACTGGTTCCTCTCGCCGCTTCTTTTTCTCTAAATTTGATAAGACATTATTTGAAATTTGAAAATTGGGATTTATACCTTTAACCGGCGATTCTGGCACCTCTGAAATTATTTCTTTGGGTTCAGGTTTGTCTTCAGGGACACTTGGCAAGGATTGACTTATAATTTCAGCCAATTCGTCCTCAACAGCTGCTTCATCCTCTTCAGTCAATCCTCCACTCAAAAGTGCATTTATTTCCTAAATTAACAAACTAAGATTTTTGTAATAAAAATATAACACCCAACCTCTTGTTTCTCTGCTCCCTCTCGTGTCTCCTCCAGGATTCTCTCAATGTCCTCAATATTGAGTGCTTCATTGACCTTCTTTAGGGCCTCATTTCCCTGCTTCAGTCCATTTACTACTTCCAATTCAACTTGGGCAAACTCAATATCGTGTGTGAGACGCTCTAAATTATCCAACTGATTATCAGTTTTTTGTAAAAGAGACTCCTGGAAGCGTTTTTTGCGCAAAAGTAACTTGGCTCGTCTGAAATTAATCGTATTAAACTCAATTAAAGACTGACAGTACAACTAACTCTTTTTGTCCTTTATTTAACAGTTTTTTGGCCAATTCTCGGTCCGAGGCTAGTGATAATTCGATTCGTTTCTGGTATTGTTTCAATTTATCCCTTTGTTGCTTTAATTGCTACAAAAACACTCAAATAAAATCTAAAATAAGCCAATTTGACACAAACCAAAACGGCCTTATCCTGTTGCGTGATTCTTGAAACTGGTTTTTTCTTACCGAAAATAATTCCCATTTTTAGGTGATTCAGGGGGCTTCACAATTTTTCTGACACCTGTCAATTTGTTGAGGTTATGTATTTAAGAATCCACAAATTGATAAAAATTCCCTCAATTCAATGACACAAATCAATCACACTATATCATAGCCTCGATCACAAATAAAATTAATACACAACTGGGGTCACAACATTGAAAATTTTATCAATTTAATCCTACAATCTAGTGATTTATTTTTTATTTTGTTGGCAATTTATGATATGACAATTTGGGGTTATGTCAAATTCAAATCTCAAAAATGCTGAAAGACAGTGAGAACCGGGCCGTATTCCCCGGTGACGTTATAAGAGACATCAAATCGGTGAAAGGAGTGACTATTTTGGGGCCCGGCTTGCACCAGAACGAATCAGAGCTCAATTCCGTCCGAGTGACGCGCAGCGGGAGTCTTCATTTTAAGCCCCCCAATGTCTACTGGGTGGAGCACGACCAGAAGCGCTATATCCCCAAACGTGGGGACTTGGTCGTAGGAATAGTAGTGAAAAAATCGGGTGATTTGCTTAAAATCGACATTGGGGCCAGTGAGCCCGCTTCATTGTCGATGTTAGCATTCGAGGGGGCCACCAAGAAGCAAAAGCCCGACTTGCAAGTAGGTGATTTGGTCTACGGGAAGTTGCTGAACGCGCATAAAGAAATGGAGCCCGAGTTGGTGTGTGTTGACTCTTATTTCAAAGCGGGGAAGTTGGGGCCCTTGTCGAACGATGGGTTTGTGGTGACGGCCAGTTTGGGGCTGGTGTACCGGTTGTTGGACCCCGAGAACCCGATTTTGGAAACCTTGGGGAAGCTTTTCCCGTTTGAGATTGCGGTGGGGATGAATGGCAAGGTTTGGGTCAATGCGAAAAGTGTCAAAGATGTTTTAACTGTGATTAGGTGTCTCGAGGTGGCTGAGGCACAGGACGATAAAACGGTGCTTGATTTATGTAAACAATTTAAATAAATATTTAATAAGAATGAGAATTTTTATTTTTAATCCCTTGGACTTTGAAATGAGGATTAGTCTCGTATGAGCCCCACTAATGACGATTTAATGTCTAGTCACTTGCATCAACATCAAAGTCATTTGCTTTCACGTGCCGCTCAATAGTAGTGGTGGTTCAGGTGGGGTTTGCATGATAACAAATCGTGTCTCTGTGGGAAAAACTTGTCATTTATCGTCAAAATGAGTGATAAAACAAATGGGTTTCACGGTACGTTAAATCTCACGTTTTTTTTTTGCCACTGACCTGACCTAACCTTACTTTTAGACGATTTCGAGGAAGTTCGGGTTCCGGTACCGTGGGGCCATATTAGTGGTGAGCATATTTTTCATGATTCATTATTTTTTCATAAGCTGATTGGGAATTATTCATAAAAAACATGCACGTTTCGAGTGGCTCATTAATGCTTATTTCTGTTATCAAACAGTCTGATAGTGATAACACTTCATAATAATTAAAATAATACTACTAGCGTAAAAAAGACAATTAGTTTGTTTTAATTACTTTGCAATTTGAAATTTATTGTGCTGTCATTTGTTGTTTCCAAGCCTGCTTTGGGTTCGCCAAGTCTAGGCATTTGCACATTCATTTGTTTCTAAATAGAGCATAAATAATAGGACCTTTTGTTTCTTTGACAACACGTGTGGCATTCATAACATTATCCTAATGTCAAATATTTATTTTTTGTTGAATTATCTTCTGCAAAATGTAGTCTCGCGATTTGCGAAAAATGTAAATAAGTAAATAGAAGGTGATCTGACGCTCCTGTCAGCCCATTTTGGGGACTTTGGACTTTGATATTTGAATTACGTGGTTTGGGTGCCTCACTGCCTCCGGCAGTAGAACACCGGAAATTTTGCGGTTTGCTCTTTCACCCATAAATTATTGAAGTAAAGGTGAATGAAAAAAGCTTCGGGTTTTTCTTCACTTTTTACTAGTTTTGAGTTGTTTTTGTCCCAAAATGGCGGCAAAATGTTCAATTTTACTACTTGCCAGAGTTACCTTAGATACATAGACAGCTTTCAAGCTTGGTTTTTGACTTTTTTATTAATTTGTTCCAGTCCCATGTCTGCTGCAGTAGCATAATAACACATTTTTATAGCAAGAAAAAATATTTAAAACAAACATTGAATTAAAACTGTATTGATTTTTTTGAAATATAAAATTTTGGTGCTTAAAAAACGCAATTGTCAAAGTTAATTTTGACATTTTTGACAGATTTCATTCATTATTAACACTTGACAAGTTGACACTTGATCAATTTGTAAAAACTGTGTAAACTTGTTTTCTCTGTTCTAAATTATAATTAAATAAAACGGCCCTTACACAGTATCCTAATTTTCACGTTTTTTCACGTCAAACTTGACGTTAAATCCTGCTCTTCAGCGGATTTTCAAAAAGTGTCCAAAAATTTAATTTAATTTTTATTTATTCAAAATTGACTTATTTGGAAACTCATGATGATGTAATATATTACAAAATCTTTGAAATTGTTATGAATGACTATTACCAATATTTGAATAGAGAATAAAATTCATTATGTAGATGAAATTTATTATCCGGTATTTACGTTTTTAATATTCTTTTCTACCGTGCGATCAAATAAAAAATAAATTAGAGTAAATTCTACAGTTGGCAACACATTGGCTGGGAATTTGGGCTTGAAATTTTCCATACAAACTGAAAGTGAAAATGACCATCCACCGTTTTCCTCTTGTACAGCAATAAAAAAATTCTGCTCTAAAGTGAACATTATTTCACTCAAAAGAAATAAAACTCAAACTTGTCAAAGTTTCCGCTGACATTTGATCAAAAATCAGGATTGCCATCTGAAGGACTTTAATCACCGCCTACTCTAATTTATCTATTTTTTTGATCGCACGGTATTAAGTTGGAGCGAAATTGGCAATTTTCTTGTTACTATTCGAAATTTTTGCAAAAAATGAATTGTTTAATTTTTTTTTTCATTTACTCGGTGTAATATCCATAAAACATTACATAAGCGCATAAGTACTACACTGTTGTAATAAAACTAACTCATTATTATATGCATGAAGGTAAGAAGCCCCAGATTTAAATTGCAAATGTCGTATTAAGTAATCGCAAGTCTAGAGGTGAAGGACCTAAACAGTGGTTGTTTTTCCCCAAAGGCAAATGGTGGGGTCCCAAATCCACTCAGCCCATCCTGGCCATCCACGGCTGGCAAGACAACGCGGGCACTTTCGACACCTTGGCCCCCTTGCTCGCCGCCAAAGGCCACTCAATCCTCTGCGTGGACCTCCCGGGGCACGGCTTATCCTCGCACCTCGCCGACGGCCACTGCTACTACCTCTTCTGGGACGGCATCCACATCGTCCGTCGCATTGTCAAGCATTTCAATTGGGGCAAAGTCACCCTCATGGGGCACTCTCTCGGGGGCGGAATCGCCTTCCTCTACGCGGGGACTTACCCCGACCAGGTCGACAAGTACATCAGCTTCGACATCGCGAGCCCTAGTGTCCGCGACCCCGCCAAGCTCGTGGCCAGCATCCCCGAGTGTGTCGACAAGTTCCTAAAGTACGAGACCCTCACCCCCGAGCAAATGCCTTGTTACAAATACAAGGATATGATCGATATCGTGGAGGAGGCCTACAAGGGGGGCGTCTCGAGGCGCTCCTGCGAGGTGATGATGCGTAGGGGAATGCGTCCGGCGGAGCACAAGGAGGGCCACTTTGTCTTTAACAGAGACCCGAGACTTAAAGTGGCCGCACTTGCGTTCATGACGCCGGATCAAGTGTTGCAGTTTGCGGCCCGGACCACGTGTCGGGTCTTGAACATCCGGGGGAACCCCGGAATGAAGTTCGACTTCCCGGAGTTCTACGATAGGGTGCTTGACGCGATTGACAAACAAGGGAAGGTGGAGAGGCACGTGGTCGAGGGGAGTCATCATCTCCATCTCAATAACCCGGAACGGGTCGTTGACATTGTTGATCAATTTCTCGCGTCGTAAAATTGTGATATTTATTTATTGACAGTATTTTTATTGTTGACTCATTGTAGTTTCTTATTTTAAATAAATGTTTACACGAAAATTGGTAAATTACATCGCCAGGTGGTCACGACGAGGGATGGTTCGTCCTGGTAGCGTTTACAAATTTCCTCCCATTGCATTTCAGTGGGGCTAAAAATCGCCTTGGAACGAAGATTTCCTTTCACAGTTTCCAAATCTCGCAAGATGGTTTTATTGCGTTCTTTGGCTTCTTCCAGTGAAAGGAATTTTCGGTTTTTGGCGTCGACGTTGCTATTTTTGCATTTTTCACGTTTCTCACTAGAAAATTTTAAATTAATTTATTTATTTTTGTTGTAAATTGTTAAACAAACATGTCTTGAAATAAAGTTTCGATTTTCTCCTCTTCCTGTTTGTATTTATTCAGTATTTCCTCAACTTCCGGTACTACAGGCATTGTCACTTAAATTTTTGTCGTTTATGCTTGTTACCATGGCAACGGATGCGTTTGAAGTGGTTACTTGGCGGCGGGAGAATTAAAATATGAGGGCCTATGTGTTGAATTGCAATTTTGAAACTAATAAAGAATGCATTACTGATAACAAAATATCATGTCCATTATTAATTAAGTATTTTTAAGTACTTATTACAATTTAAATTATTCGAACTGTATATATTTTGCAAAAAACGTACGCATATTACGTCATAAATATTTTATTAACAGTTATTTTTATATGTTAAATGAAAAATTATTTATTTGTTATGGGTTTAAAGAAAATGATACGGTCCAGGACTTAAATTAAAATTTTGGTGTATTGTTGGTTGCCTGAATACAAATACCGGAATTATTTTTTTTACATATTTTTGAGTCAATTTTTTGAACTCTTTATCGAAAAGGTTTTTGGGACCCAGTTTTGCCAGTTCATGGTCCGAAACGTTCCCACCAGTGGCGGCGGTAGTTTTCTTATCAACTAGAACGGAACTTTTGTTATAAAATCTCAATATTCCGGCTCATTATTCAAACCGAGAACTATTTTACTACTTGTTAACACAATCGAGCCATAAAAAATATTCAAAATGCTACGCACATTGCAATAAAACACCGATTATTGGCCCCTTTGTAGAATTTTTATATAGTTTGCCAGCAAACGACAATAAACTTGCATATAGTTCACGATAACAGGACAGTAATTTACATTTTATCATAAGGATATTGATAAGTATTATCATAAAAATAGTTCAGGTATGTCGAGCTACCTTACCACCGACGTGTCAGAAAAAGACAGATGGTATTTTTGAAATAATGATTCGAAAAATTGTAATAATATGGTAAAAATGACACGACGACGGTATTTCAAGTCCGACTTTCAAACGGTTCGGGTGTTTGGTGCTCGAGTTAGTCTCAATACATTCAAACTAACTTGAGCCTTGCGAATAATTCTTGAGATTTTACAACGATTTGTTCGTGTGGCTCGAGTTAGATACGAATGTTTTTTCTACAAATTCACAGAAGAGAAAAAACAGGTACGCATTTAAAAATTTTATTACTTTTAAATACTGTACATACATGGTATAACATATACAATGGCACGTTATTTATAAAAATATAATGAGCATGTTTCTTACATCAACCAATCGAGAAACCAAAGGAAGACGAAGGAAATTAAAAAAGAATTCGAGTTTGACGCAATTTCGAGGAAAAATGTGGCAACGCCGCATTAACCTAACCGAAAAAGGAAATTTTATGTGGTGCTTATCAGCAATAGTGGCCTCGCTGCATTTATTTTTGAGTATTTATTCATTTTTGATAATTTTAATGAGGCAAAAATAATGCCTGATAAGGAGGGAGGCTATTAACAAGGTGACAGTGTTGCCACTTTGTCCTTCGTTTCCCGCGTCGGACTGAAATAACTCTACGTCTAGTTAAGAAATATACAACCAGTCACAATTTATACATAACTCCTTGATATGTTTTTATACAATTTAAATATCGATGAGGATTATAATTTTACGGGTTTAACTATGAACCAAGCTTAAAAATGGACGATTAGACGCGACCTTTTCAAGATCAATTACTAGACACACACACGCTCGAACCCAAATGACTAGACAATAAAAATAACCCCAGTCTCTCAAAAAACATTAACAAGTTTAATACTGCTTCAATAACCAACAAAATCACTCAAATTCACAACATATTGCCAGGCTCACTCCTCGTCGAGGCATGATAGACCTGTTTATGTGGCGTAAAACTACTCAAAGAAGGCGTGGCGTTGCGCCATGACAGGCCGGGCGGGCCTACACGCGCATACACCGGCTGATTGGGCGACACGAGATCGGGAGGATTCTCATTGGACGATTTGCGGTCTTTCTTTGTACGACGTAATGTTTGATTTGGCGCGAAATACGAATCCGAGTACACTTTACGATTGTAATAACCGCCGTTGTTTGACGGGTAAGGGGGCTCTTCGGGGCTACTGGGCACCCACACCATCCTGCGCCCCCCTGTTACTAGAGTCGTAGTCGCGTAAGGGGCCGGCGAGATGAGTCCATTAGCGTCGACTTCGGCGTAATCCGCCAAATTAGGACTCGCGTACTCCTGGACTTGCATATACTTGCGGCCCAATTGGGAGTTTTTCTCCGAGCTGTAGTCGAGATGGTCAGGACGTGTGTACTCTTTCTGGTGGAGGGGGTTGGGGTGTAGGTTGACTTCCGGTTGAGGTGTCAGTTTGGAATACTCCGGGAGAGTACTAGAATAATCCGGGAGTGTGTCCTTGTCTAACCATAGAGGGGTTTCGGTTTTGGACGCTAAGGGGGTTGTCAAAACCCCTCCGTTTGATCTGCTTGGTGTCAAAGTTTTCTTTGACAACATTTGACGTCTCCGGACTAGTAACATGGCGCCAAATAGGAGTACCATCACTGATACCATACTGATCAGTAGTGCCATGAACCAAGTTTCGGTGATAAAATCCCCAGATTGTATGTCTATAGGCCTTTGTTGGTGGTGATCTGTCATTCTTGATGCTGGGTCTAGACGCAGGATGGCAGCGGCGCTAAATGGGCCTAAGCCGGCTCTGGTCGATGCTGCCACTCTCACATTGTATGAAATCCCCGCCGTTAAATTCCCTAAAAGGAGGGTGGGGGTCGTACCAACTGTCACTGTGTCGATATTTCCGGTTCCGTTTGCTTTAATCTCGATTTTGAAGCCTTGGAGGTCCCCATTGAGGGTTTCAAGGGGTGGAGGCTTCCATTTTAAATAAACAGCGGTCGAATTGAGGAGTAAAGCTTCCATGGATGTTGGAGCTTCAACAGGCACGTCTTCTAAAGTCCGGACAGTACGAGAATTGGAAGGTTGTCCTTCAACAGTCTTGTAAAAAGGCACAAGGAAGAATTCATAACGTGACCACTTTTCTAAATTATTGACAGTAAAACTTGACGAACCTCCAGTGTGAAGAACTGTCAACATGCTATAGGGTCTAGGAAGATCAGGGGGGCCGTCTAGAGTCACATAATAAATGTAGAGGCCTTCAACATATTGTGCATCGAGTATTTCCCAGACTAGTTTAATCGCAGTTGATAAAACAGGAATCGCTTCTGTCAACCGAACTATATCACCTTTGACAAGACTTGCTCTCGCTTCGCTCAACACTGTCACTTCGGGGTTTCCCCAATTCTGGGTCGTGTCAGGGCCGACTATGATTATATCGGATAATTGCGACGGTGGGCCTAACCCATGCCCATTTTCGGCCCGTACCAAAAAAGTATATGGTACCTCCGGACTTAACAAATGTTGGGTATACGTGGGGCCCTGAACCCGTCTTGCGACCACAGTCCAAGTCGGAGTAACCCCCTCCTCACGCCCAAACAATTCGATTTGATATCCTAGTAGGCTCGACGAGCCGATTTTATTGTTTTGACCCCACGTGATCGTGACACTGCCCTCTGATTGGTTGAGAGCATGTGGCCGGCTTGGAGGTCCCGGAAGCATGATAGCTTCCGGAGCTTTGAAAAAATTAATATTGGGATTTTTGGGGTTTTCGACGAGAAGATGGCCACTCCAGGTAGCTTTACCGCTCCGGGAGGATGCTACACATGTGTAGAGTCCGGAATCGTCTTTGTGTAAATTGTGGATTTCCACCAATCCGGGATTAGTGGCATTAATCCGGTCAGAGGATGCAACTGGAAGACTCTCCTTGTACCAGGATATCACCGGAGTCGGATTTCCGGTTGCTTCACACGAAAGAAACGCCACGGAGTTGATCGGAAGAGTTTGGTTGACCGGCCCCCGGATTATCACCGGAGGCGGTCGTTCCTCACGTGATGTGACCGTTAACCGAGTCCGGGTGGAGGCCGAACCGGCGGCATTAACCGCCGAACATATAATAACCGTTCCGGAGTTTTGAGGTTGGGCGTTTTTCAGCGTCAGGGTTGATTTCCCGTCAGTTGTGAGTGCTTGGTAGTTTCCCGAGGACGTTCCAGGGTAGATTAAGGTTCGGTCACCCTCAAAAGACCAAAAAATGAACGGTTTGGGGCTCCCCTCGACGTTGCAATGGAAGGAAACATCACGGCCTGATTCGACAGTTTGTGCTAGAGGTCGGGTGGTGAAAGTCGGGGGTGCGTGGACTGTGAGGAAGGCGGTGGCGGTGATAGCCCCCGCGTAGTTGTCGGCCTCGCAGGTGTAGCGGCCTTGGTCGAGAAGGGTGATTCGTTCGAGGCGGAGGGTGCGGTCTTCGAGGACTCGGACACGGCCCAGGGGCATGGTACCACCGGGGGCGTTGCGCCGCCAGAGCACGTCGGGCAAAGGGTCGCCCCCCACGGCGCAAGCGAAGTCCACAGTGGACCCCACGAGCGCCGTTTTGTCTTCGGGGGACTTAATCAGAAAAGGTTTCACTGAAAAAGAAAAAAGAAACTTATTAATTGACACAAAATTTCGAAATTGGTAACACTGAAATGAATGACAAATGACTATAAAATTGTGACGTTTGAAGTTGATAGTCACTGTCGCCAACATAATTTCAAAGTCACAGGCCACTGCGATGAGAAAGCATGCATCGTACAATAGTAAGTTTTCAAATTAGAAGTTGGTACTAAGGTCAAATATTATGAAATAAGAAGAGATAAAATTAAAAAAGGTACTTAGTTACAATGTATTCAAAAAAACTCTGTACTTTGCTGTCTTACTTTATTAAAAATAATTTATTTTTTAATTGATGCCACTTTGTTTTTCAGATGACTCAGAGTTAACGTTGGTAATAAAATTTATCAAAATACAGAAGAAACTTTTTTTTTTAATTTATCAGAAAACTAACAATAAAAGAGAAAAAAGATTCTCTTTGGTAAAAGTGAAAGAAATTCAATATTAAAAACTAGTTAGGAGTGTAAACTGTGAAAAAGCAAAATCACTGAAACTATAGAATACCAACTTGACAAAAATAAAGCAATAATGTATTTCATTATAATAATATTTATCGTACCATAGACCTTCAGGATGGCCACCGCCGACTCCCTCACCCCCGCCGTGTTCTTCGCCACGCATTGGTACCTCCCGTCGTCGTTTGGTTTGGTATCAGTGATGGCAAGATTCGACCCATCGACCAGTTTGAGCCTCCCTTCGACATCCAGCGTATGTCCATCCTTGCGCCAGAAAACTTGTGGCTCAGGTGTGCCCCTCGGTGGGGCGCACTCCATCACGATATCCTCCCCTGCTGCCACTCTCGTGCTCTGGGGCTCCAGCCTGAACTCGTCTCGTAAAACTGCAACAATCGGTCAATTTTAAGCAAATAAAAACGAATGGCCGGAATTTAAAGGCAATTTGGTGGATGGGAACCCCGGAAATTGCAATTCCAATGAATCAACAGTTTTCATTTCCCGTCTTGGCGATTTTTCGATTAAAATTTGCGCGATAATTGAATTGTCGTGATATTCGTTAGAGCGGATTGGCAATTACCCCAAAAATTAAGACTGAGATTAAAGTGCAACCCTTATGGGGGCTGTCAAACAAAATCTAGACGTTTATCGTGGATATGGCACCGGTGGGGGTTTATATGTGCCGGAGTTTTACATAAATTCTGATAACGGAAGAAAGTTTTCGCGGAGGGTGGATGCTGAATGGCCGGGGGCGGTTACCCCCGACATGCATGTATCAATATGTACAACACAACGCTATATTATTAAGCTAATATGCGTACAGAGTCTGATGACCAGATCAATCAAAGCCAGGATACAGACAGGAGCGAATATTGATGCTATTGGCAGCCTAAGTGAGTTTTACTACACAGACAGGCCGTAAGTAATTGGATTTCGACCTATACATTAACCCAAAATAGAGCCATAAAGCGATTAATAAAAAAAATCAAAAAAAAAATTCACGGTTATGCAACCAAATATACAGAAATTAAATTAGGTGTTTTCAAATCCACATACAACGGGGGGCTAGAAATTAAAAATTGCTAATTTGTATGTAAACATTTTTGTTTTTCTGTTTAAACATGTCACAAAATCAAGCTACTAGTGAAAATGTGATGAACTATCCTCTGCGGCTATGCAACCAAATATACACAAATTCATTTTGGTGTTTTTTTAATTAATATACAGCGTGTCCCAGAACTTGAGAATTGCCAATTCGTGTGTGAAAATGTTTTTGTTTGTGCGTCTGTTGGATAAAATTGTAGATTTGTTTGGGTCCCGTTTTGTAATTGCGTTTCCTGCAATCAAACAGTGGCAAAAGGGATTAATGAAATTCCCCGAAAATAAATTCCTCTCGCAGATGAGTTTTATTGATCCCGTTGTCCGACAATTACACCGTTCGAATCACGAAAACGCACTTAAATCAATTGTCGGAATATCTTGTCTCTCCGCTACCATGAATAAATTTTTGAACAAAAGCACTCCGGGGTGGTGTTTTGTGATTGATTGGGTAGTCGAGTTTAATTTCAGTTTTTTCCAAAGTACGTTTACTTTGCATTTATATTGTGTTCGAGGGAGGTGTCTATATTCTCCTCTCTTTCAATCAACTTTATTAATATTCACTATTCTTGGGTTGCGACCAGCTACAGACTCGGAAAACGCCTCGTTTGTGCAAGGAATGGAGTGTGAAATGAAAAAGGGTGGCCTGTCTAAACATCCCCCATTTGTTTATTTGACTTGTATCGTACCAAGTGTCTCTTTCCCACGGATTTTTTACAAATTTTTGACCTCGTAACGAGCTCTGACGTTAAATTTGATAAAGCTAATGCGAATCATAACAAAGAACAACAGCTGACACCAATAAAAAATGGGACCGGAGGCGCAGGATAACGACGTTAGCCTTTATCGAATTACGCAATGATACCGGGCGAAGGAATTCGGGAACTGGGGGCCTCAGGCAGCGTTACCTGTTTTGCCCTTCTTAATAAAATAAGTCTAATTTTAATAAAATGAATACGTATTTAATTTTATTTTGTTGTAATTTTGACTTGGCAACGCAACAAAAAATAAATCCCCGTCTGAAATTTGAGGAAATTGTGAATCGTTTTTGTTTTATCATGTAAGTCTGGCACGTGATGGAAGGATAGTTTATTAATCTCGTCAAAAATGCAACTTTTTGCGTGTGAAAATTTAAAAATCGTATCGCTGCCTATTTAGTTCGGGCCCGAATCGATTTATCCCATCACGAAACCTTTCAAAATGTCGTTTCACATGAAACGTTATATCTCCAGCAGGAGGCAATATCCCTCCAACTATTTGTTTTCTTCTATACGTATAAACAGAAAATAATTTATTTTATACATTGCGTGCCATAACAAAACAAAAAATAAATCGTTCGTTAACCTAAACAGGGGCGAGTCCTTTGTGACTCACACAATCGGACTTGTTTTGATTCGAAATTACTGTTTAAGTTGAAAAAATTCATTAAAGGACTCATCCTCATCCCCTTATCTCGTTGCTGAATACAAACAAAAACAGGGAAGCTTTAAGCTTCAGGTTGGCGGCGCTGTTAATTCTATCTGTTACACGCGTACCAACTTAATTACGGCATAAAACGCAAACTTAATAGTTGGAATTGCCGTTAATATGGACCCCCTTTTGCAGACATCTGCTCAAAGATCGAAGATAACGGAGGACGTGAGCCGCCTCCGGTTAAGCGCCAAATTTAAACGTGACGTTCAAGGCGTATTTCTCTAAAAACTTTATTTAGATGTTTTGTAGTGCTTTTACGACATGAATTTTATAAAGGATGCTCTCGTACTGTGATTTATGCAGGACACGAACTGCCTCACTTTGTAGTTTCACGATAAATTCTATTTGGAAAATAAATATTCCGGCGGTGTATTGTTGGTTGCATACACTAGACACATCTGCAAAATCAGAATTAACTCATTTATGTGATTTATATCACAATTATTTGTACTAAATGAGACTATAATTTGTGAATTTGTTACTCCACAAATAACAAATTGTATAAAATCTATAATTTATATTTAATCCCGTCTGGTTATTTTTATTACTAGTGGTTGGTGTGACAATAAATTAATTAATTGAAGTACATTTATTAAAAACTTTTGTTCGGTTTTTGTCACAATTAATTGATCGAGATCATTGCTGAATGGCCAAGTGTTGAATTGCGTGGTATGCGGTTAAACTAAACAGCTGGCTCGTTGGTCTAGGGGTATGATTTCCGCTTAGGGTGCGGGAGGTCCCGGGTTCAAATCCCGGACGAGCCCGACTTTTTTCTTATTTTTTTTCGCTCTAAATAGCCCCATTTGCGTCACGCGACATTTCCCGCGATAAAAATCTTGTTTATATTTAACTGAAACAATTTACGCACCTGTTGTGGCATTTCCCTTTCTCATGTCGAGAATTCTTACTTTGAAATTTAATTACGTCGAAAGTCTGTAAACTATGATAATCGCATAAACGTCTAGAAATAGCTCGAGGCTGATACCGATAAAAGTACAAGGGAATTAGCATAGCGAAGGCCTGCGTACTGTTTTCATTGAATTAATTACTTGTTTAGACAAGTCTAACAAAACAGCCGAACCATGCGCGGTTTATTGCCCCACCTTGTATTCGAAACAATTTTTAAATAATGCATTATTCATAAATTGGTATTTTTATTACAACAATTTTATGCGAGTTATACAACCAATGATGCGTGTCGTGTTGGTTGCATAATCACGACGTTGTCAAACTTAATCAATAGAGGTGAAACAGGATACACCTCTATTAGTCTAGCTGAAAATGTCCCAAGTCATCGTTTTTTCGCTTGAAATTCCCCTCCAGCCACTTATAATATTAAATTATATTCGGGGAGACATAAATCCGGCGATTTTTAGTTTTTTATTAAGGGCGGATGATTTATTACTTAATCATTATAAATCATGAGTCTTATTAGAAAAATTCGAATCGATTCGAGCACACACACCGCTTATTATTAATTAATGATCAATCCTCGTCAAATATTTACTTTGCTCAAACGGTGAGATTCGAGTTATCGAAGCAAAAGCTATTGGTTTATGTTAAATAAATATTTTCGTAGCTGACTGGATAAAGTTTAATAGCGGTGGTTTTTTGTGAGGGTGGACACCTAAAACTAACAGAAATTTGCAAAGTAAGGGCTGGGTCATCACATTTATTTAACAGAGGGCTGGCCACGTCTGAAATAATCAGATTAATAACGTTGCGTTTCGATATTTATGAAAAAAGTAATCCCTTGTATTTTTCCCAACAATGGAACGTCGAGATCTCATTACCCGATAAAAGGGGCTCAGTCAGGCTGATATTTTATAAAGAATCCGATATAAATTAAAAAAAGACACATCTCGAAGATCAGATGGTCTTAAGAGAGGGCAAAACAAACAAAATCTATCTCGAAAGATGGCGGTTAGGTTTGTGAAATATCCCTCGAGGACTCGACCTCTCTAAATAAGAAACGGCCAATGATTAAATAGATAGAAAAACAAAAGTGACCGTCAAAGGAAGATTGGAGTCGTTACGAAAACCGAAACGTATTTTCTTAAATAACATCGAAACAGGTTTCTTGACGATGAGATTCGAATTTCGCGCCAGATGTTTAACGCTCGGGGATATTTCCGCGGTGAATATTGAGTTGTAAGTTCGAGTTTAATGAAATAGAAAATAGGGAGAGGGTGGGAAGTTTTCTAGCTTGAATTATTGGGGAAGTTGAATTGTGAATTGCATTTTCAAATGTTTAGTCTCAAATGATGAATTTTGAGTCTTATTTACAAGCAAATGCAGAATTTCAAGCAGTATTTGAACAATAAAAAACGTAACTACAGTACAACTTCGATTATCCGAGCCCAACATAATTCGAACAAACCTCCGCAATCCGAACTTTTTCAGAAAAAGTAGCTTTGATGTTTTAAGAAAAAGGTGATATGTAATTCTCGACTTTGCATTTTTTACATTATTTTACGTCTAACAAAATAAAAAAAAATTCAAAATTGGCCACTCATCCAGTAGTAAAGTTTGAAGGTTTATCCAAGACAGAGCTTGAAAAACTTCATTATCAGGGGAATTTTTGACAGAAAAGTCTAGATTTTGAAGCTGTTTTAAGAATATGTTTCCTTTGATTTTTAATTTATACACGAGTTCTGAATGTTTTTATATGAGTTTTAAGAGAATATTTCAATGTTTTACTAAAATAAACAAAATAAGAAGTTTGATAATCAGAAAAAATGTAAAATTCTGTATCTGCATTATTTCGGATTATCGAGATTGCACTGTACTTGTAGTAACAATTTTTATGGGAGAA